TTTTGTTTCTAGTTGTCTATGGCCCGTGGCAGTCAAAAATAGTCTACAACTTAGCATAGCAGATCATATTGTGATTCTGAAATGATATACATGACATAATAAGGTAGATAGGTTAAAAGCAGATGAAAAGAATCGAACCTCTTAAAAACAGAATAAAGTAGCTAGAATAACAGCAGATCCATGGAAATGAACTCGAAAGCCATCATACCCGCGGCGCCCGCCACCGGACGTCCCCGTGACTCACCCCCCCCCCCCCCCTTCCGCAGCCCGGCAGCGGCAAGGGCGGCATCCGCATCCACGAGGACGCCGGCGGAGGGATCTACGTGACGGGCATCACCACCCGCACCGTGACCTCGCTGGACGAGACCATGCAGTGCCTGCGGGCCGGCGCGCTCTCCCGGACCACGGGCTCCACCAACATGAACACGCAGTCCTCCCGCTCGCACGCCATCTTCACGCTCCTGGTCAGGCAGCAGAGGCTGGCGCCCATTCAGGTCGGTCGCGGGCGCGCCTCGCCCGGGTCTTAGGACTTTGGTTGTTTTGTTTGAATTACGGGTAAATATGTTTTTGCTCTGCAATAACTGACTGTTCTTAGCTCATATAAATTAGAGATGACTAAACCTTCGAATAATAAAATTATTATTTCCAGGTCCACTACATGTTACTTGTTTCTGTAACATGGTGTATCCTTGCCTTGCTTTTATTCCTTATACTTATTCCCCATGTCCAACCCTGGCAGGATGCGGAGAATACGGAGGAGGTGCCTGAGTTCGAGACGCTGACGGCCAAGTTCCACTTCGTGGACCTGGCTGGCTCGGAGCGGCTCAAGCGCACGGGCGCCACGGGCGAGAGGGCCAGGGAGGGCATCTCCATCAACTGCGGCCTCGTGAGTGGTCATTTCTATGTCATAGTTGTCCAGATTTTTCGGTTTTTAAAGATTGTGTTATTTTCTTACTCGTTTTAGGGTTTGATTTCATTTTGATTGTTTTCTTTGTCACTATTTGTTCCATGTGCTGTGAATTCAAAATCTTACATTTTATCCTGAAAACGCTTTTTTTTAGATATTAGTTCTTAGAATCAGAACTTGTAAATATTTGCCAAATGATTGCTTGAAATTGCTCTTAGAATCATGAAGTCATGGAATGAGTGTAATAATCTTTGGAATTTTTAAAATGTAAAAATACCGTATTGTTGCCTAATCTTTTTGTAATCATTATCACACGTAATTCATTCATTCTTTCTAATTTTTCATTCACTTATCCAAGTTTTATCTTCTTTCTGTTTACCCATTTCTTCCTCCCGGCCAGCGGCTCTAACACTCCCCCTCCTGAATCCACAGCTGGCCCTCGGGAACGTGATCTCGGCCTTGGGGGACGTGAGCAAGAGGGCGACGCACGTGCCCTACAGAGACTCCAAGCTCACGCGCCTTCTGCAGGATTCCCTCGGGGGTGAGACGGCGTGGGCTGTTTTTTCTCTGTGATATCTATTTGTCTTTATCTTTTTTTTTTTTTGTCTTTCTACCTGACCTTGCCTATCCATCCTTCCTTTCTTTCTTCTGTCTCACCAACTTACTTACTTTCTTTCTTCCTCCTTCCCTCCCTCCCTTCCTTCCTTCCTTCCTTCCTTCCTTCCTTCCTCCTCCCTCCTTCTTTCCCTCCCTCCCCTTCCTTCCCTCCTTCCCTCCTTCCATCTCTCCTTCCCTCCCTCCTTCCCTCCTTCCCTCCTTCCATCCTTCCATCTCTCCTTCCCTCCTTCCATCTCTCCTTACCTACTTCCCTACCCACCTACCTACCTACCTACCTACTTACTTACTTACTTACCTACTTACCTACTTACCTGTTTATTTACCGGCATACCTGCTTCTCTATCCACCTACCTACTTATTTAACTGCCCTCCTACTCATCAACCTACTAACTGCTCATATATAAAGCCAGATCTATGTATCTCTTGTTGGTTGTGGAAGTGCAAGCCATGTTTCTTTTTATATGTTTTGGTGGTTTATTGTTTATATTTGAAAAAAGTCTTAATTTCTCTTTCCTCTTTCCATAGGTAACAGTAGAACGTTAATGATTGCCTGCGTCTCACCAAGTGACACAGACTTCATGGAGACGTTAAACACCTTGAAGTACGCCAATCGGGCACGTAACATCAAGAACAAGATTATGGTTAACCAGGATAAGGCCAGTAAAGCCATTGCAATACTGAGGCAGGAGATTCAGCAACTCAAACTGGAGCTGATGGAGTACCAACAGGTGCGGCAGATGTGCAAATTATAGATGTATATTAGGGACTGGGTGATTGTCATTTTACAGATCAGCTTTTCTTTTGATTGAGGGTTGTATTTTTGAAATGTAGAATGCATTAATAGTGGATGATGGCACTTATATTTTTCTATAGGAGTGAAATCTCTGTTGAGTAGGAATTGTGGTCTTAATTCCCTTTTTCACTTGGGATGTCTGGATGTACCATAGTTGCTGTGAGAATTACTTGTAGTATTACTTGCTGAGGAAGTAGGATTTCCCTTGCAGGGAAAGCGCATTGTTGGGGAGGACGGAATGGAAGCTATCAATGATATGTACCACGAGAACCAGATGCTCTCCACTGAAACCAACAACTTGCGTACAAGAGTGAAAGCACTGCAGGAGACTGTTGAGGTGTTAACGCAGAAAAACACCATGCTCCTAGCAGAGAAAGAAACCAGTGGATGGGCCAGCTGTAAGTGTTATTACTTGTATGTGATTAAAGGGACCCGTGATAAATTTCACTTATGTGACTATGTGTGCCTGTGTTTCTGTATATATAAACACAAGCATGTTATGTCAATGTGTAACTATTTCACAACCATAACTTTCCAGCTGGTGAGGACAATGATATGGCTACAGTTGTACAAGGTTACCTTAAGGAGATTGAAGACCTAAGAGCAAAGTTGTGTGAGAGTGAGAACCTCTGCCAGCAGCTCCGAAAGCAGCTCAATAACCGAACCAACACCCTCGGCAGGATGTCTTTATCCCCTCTACACGTCCCAATGTCTGGTGAGTTGCTATTTTGCTAACTCTTTAAGACAAATTGTTGGATTTCATAATAAAAGTAACTGCAACTTGATTCAAGATTGCCATTGATGTTATTGGAAGTAACATTTCACTTACTGTTGAATTACCCCTAGTTATATTGTAATGTTTTAAAAAATATTTTACAGGGTCAATGTATAGTGAGGTAGAGGAAGGCACGCAGAGCTTTGCCGAATTGATTGAGGAGGCCAAGAGGGACTTAAACAAAGACCTCCAGGTAGTTGAAAGGAAGAAGAGGATATCGGAAGGGTCAGGCTCTGCAGACGAAGATGAAGATGAAGCAGAGGCAGAAGAGAATGAGGAAGCAGAGAGTTCTGATGAAAGCGGGGAAGATAAAGGTTGGCTTAGATGCTTCTTACCCCCACCTTGTTTTGTAGGTTTCCCAATCCCCCAAAACTCAGCAGTGTCCAACTGTTACTTACTCTCTTATTGCTATTTCATCCTTGTTTCCCAGACTCACTGAGAATGCTATTTTAAACACATTCCTGTTGTTGCTTCTTATGGTAAAAGAAAAAGTGTGGCAGGTGGAACATAGCAAGAATCAGTATATTATGCTGATTTAATATGGATATGGAGTTGCTGTATACTCTAATATGTATTCTGTGCTATGCATTCTTTTAAAACTTCTTGAATTTCAGACTTTATCTACATGGGATATTACAGTAAGCTCAAATTGTGTTTGGAGTGCTAGGCAGTTCTTAGAAAGCTTTTTATGCTCTTTACAAGTCTTAGAGCAGTTAGGCTTCAAGTGTACATTAAGATTTTCTAGTGGATATGATAGTGGTAATAGGACTTTATCTGTGAGGTTTGGGAGTGAGATATATATGCACTATTAATAGAAAAATGCTAATAAAAATCTAAGGAAATTTCAAACAAGAATCATTATCTATAATTGGATTTTGCATAAGTAGATTTTTTTAAATGAATTGATAAGGGCAAATATGGTTAACTATTAAAATATTAAAAGAAAGACTACAATTTTTTGGCACACATGGTTTCTAAATCAATAATATGGAGGAACAAAAAAAAACAGGTGACTTACAAACAAACTTTTAAAAACCTATAATATATAGACCCCAAACCCTGTGATACCCAAAGAGTAACATAGCAAGCACAGCAGCTTGTGACCTTTAACAATAGGTGGTGCTTGAGTAGAATTAATACCCCTTGAACTGTTTCTTCCTTGCTGCTAATCAGACGATGAGGAAGATTCTGATTTAGAGGAAGAGGAGACAGGTAGGCCGGCAGGAGGCTTTCTGGTGACTGAGGTCGCTTCCTTTCATCCTTTTTTCTATTTATTTTATTTTATGTTTTTCTTAATTTGCTTTGATATTTTATGCATTTATTAGAACCGTGTATAATAGTTGTCGTTTTATAGTTTTGTTATTATTTTATAATATGTGGTCATTAGTATTTTTCTCTTGATATTTATTATTAATTATTACTGTTATCATCATCGTCAGTGTTAATGTTATATTAATGGTAATATTAACAATAATTACTATTATGATTATCACTATTGTTTTGTTACTAATAGTGTTATTGTTGTTATTATCACTATCACTACCACATTTTTTGTTAATTGCCTTCTGTTTTATAGATTTTTTGTTATCAGCCTGAGTACATGAAAGCATATGTTTTTGTGTCTGTCTACTAGCTTTAACCATTGATTTTGACATAACACATGTATTAATGATAATAAAAAAGGAAAGGAAAGGAGAAATCCAACAAATCGTGAATCATCTGATTGTTCCGGCCCACAGAAAACCTTAACGAAGAGCTAGCGGAGCTGACAAGTGAGATCTCCATCAAGCAGAAGCTGATAGAAGGCCTGGAGCAGAGCCAGCGGCGGCTGGAGACCATGAGGCAGCAGTATGAGGACAAGCTGAATGTCCTCATGAACAGGATCAAGGCCACCCAGGATGAGAGAGACAAGGTGACACGGAATTGGGATGGAGGGAGGGATAGTATTATTATTATTTATGTGTGTGTGTGTGTGTGTGTGTGTGTGTGTGTGTGTGTGTGTGTGTGTGTGTGTGTGTGTGTGTGTGTGTGTGTGTGTGTGTTTGTGTGTGTGTACATTTTTTAAGCAATTTATTTATTTATTTATTTACTTTAGCATTGGTGACATTTTTTTTATTGAAAGTCGTGAGCGAGCTCTTTTAAAGATCTTTGCTGTTTGCTTTTGGGCTTTTACAGTTTTGTAAACCTTTTTATTTAGTTTGGTGAACACATTTGGGTGATATGTAGGGCATATTTGGTCAACTTGCACAAGTCACGTCATATTGACAAACTTGCTTGCCAACGTAGGTGCTGGCTCACATCAAAGGGAGCAGCAGTGCAGGAGAAGACAAGGTGAAGCAGGTGAAGCAAGATTATGAGAGGAAGATCACCAATATGCAGCAAGAGATGAAAAAGCTCCAGGCTGCTCAGAAAGAACATTCCAAACTGATGAGGGAACGGTCACAGCACGAGAGGCAGTTGAGGACTCTCAAGTCGGATTTGGCAGAGATGAAGAAGACAAAAGTTAAGGTAAACACTGAAAGGGCATGTATATTAAAGTGTGCCATTTGTTGGTCTGAGCAAGAATTCAGGAGTCTGTATGTACAGATAAAAGTTTTCATTACTTTCTGTTCCTAAAAGTAATGATTAATAGGATGTATCATTGTCTTTTTTCTTTCATTCATTCATGATTTTTACAAAAAAATGTTACAGCTCATGAACAAGATGAAGGAAGACAGCAGCCGTGCTAAGCAGGATCAGCTGAAGAAGAACAAAGAGATTGCCCAGCTGAGGAAGGCTTCGCGCAAGCAGGAGACCTACATCAAGAGCTTGGAGGCAGAGAACCGGCTGAAGAATGTTGTGCTGAAGCGCAAGACTGAGGAACTTGCTGTGCTGAAGAGAGCGCCGAGACAAGGCCTGAGTAATAAGGCTGCGGGAAGACTTAGCAGGAGTGAGTATGATTGAGAAAATACTTGTACAGACATGTAATGGCAGACCTTGCACTTGAAAATGTATAAAGTAACCTGATGCATATTTACAAATATTATGAGATGTAGAAGACTTCTAGAGTTTTGTTATGCAATTATTTGTTTCTTGTATTTCATGCCTTTTCTCTGTTTGCCAGGGGGCGTAATGGGTCAGCAGCAGGTTTCGTTCTCTCCCAAGGTTGCTAAACAGAAGTGGCAGAACATTGAACAGACTATCAATAAGGTTGCTTACAACAAGCAGACTGTCAGCAGTATGGAAAGAGATATGGAAAGGTGATTTATTGTGATTTTCTTTGGTTATTAGGAATGGTATTGCTAGGTGTCGTAGGGATTTTTATAATAGAGGTCCCAACATTCATTTATTTCTCTCCTTCTTGTTATGCTTGGTTGGAGAATACTGTGTTGTGGACAGTTTTAGTAGAAAACCAGAGCAACCATGATACGACGAAATACTGATGGTTGTCCGTATTCTCTCAGATGGTTGAAAGAACGCGAATCCCTGAGCAGACAGCTTGAGAGAGTAATGAGGAAGAGAGAGCGTCTGGACCCGGTAGACATCGCCAGCTATAATGATCTGAATGACCAGGTTGAGGCTCTGAAGGCCAATATTGACTACATCCATGAGAACATCCAGGAGTGCCAGGAGAATATCATGAGCATGGAAGAGAGCAAGGTAATGGTTTTTATTGTTGTTGCTGTTCTTAAGGATTTTGATGCTTACATACTGAACTTACAAGATGAATTCATGTGGTATACTTCTTGCATTTTGGACATGATCATTATTATAAGTCATGTTACTAGTGTTATTAACATTTTGTTTTTCCTGATTCTCTCCAGGAATCTTCAGATCTTTTGCAAACAGGAACTGTCACAAGCAGCTTAAACTTAGACGAATCACACTACCTCATTAGCAAGCTCATTAATATGACAATAAACCAAGCAACAATAGCAGCTCAGAGACAAGCTTCAATATCTGAGCTTGAGGGCAAGATGAAGCAGGTAAGTTTAGTAGCAGATTATACCGTAGTGTGACAGAGGGAAAGGACAATTTTGATTATTCCATTATTTTTTTTAAGTGTAAAGAGCAAGTTGAGACCTAGTGTATCATGATTGAAAGTATTTGTCATTATTATCTTAATTTGTGCTGATAAAATATTTTGTCTTTCCTCATTTATTTGTTGATAGTGAAAAGTGTGAAAGTAAAACCTAATCTCCTCAAAATTATATTTACCTGGAATGCAGCATTTATCTGGAATGCAAATTATTCTTGTGAAGTTGCTGTTATTAGCTTAAGCTGAAGGCACTTTGGATGGCATGTATGTACATACCATGTCCACTGTGAGTTTAATTTATTAATTGTTTTTACATATAAATGGCTCCACAAGTACTATCACCAATAAGCCAAGTACGAGTTCTACCTGTCTCACCTGTTTACCTTATTCTTTGATTTAAAAAAATATTATCTGGTATCTAATATTACTGTTTGTAATGACAATAACACTATGATAATTATAATGTCTATAATGAAAATAGCAGCATTGATACTTATATTATTAGTAAAAAATTTTTTTTTTTTTTTCTGCAAATCCAAGGAAAAGTGAAATTAGGTGAGGTCACAAGGTCTACTCGACTCTTTTGTGGCTAAGCACTTGCAAAGCCATCTATATGTAGAGACATTTCACCAAACGATACCACAGTGAGCACAGCATTTCCCAGAGACTTTGGGTTAATAGGTGTGTTGAGAAAGTTTCCGAGCAGTGAAGGTTATACTCAGCAATATGCGTACAAATGTATTTAACAGATGGAACAAACAACAAGTGTCCAGGAACAACTTTTGGCTCACGTTCTGGGAGACAAAGACCTTGAGGTTTATAGCCTTATGTCGTCCCTGGTGGCTGCCGAGGACAACACTCCAGCATCCACCGAGTCCTCGAGATCTAATTCTCCCACAGATGGGTAAGGAAATATGCAGTGTGCTTTGTCATTTGATGTCTGTGATATAGTTTATAACTGATTATGATTATATAGTGTTATGTGTACTTTCAAACATTGTTCTCCTTATTTTCTTTCAATGATTGGTTTCAAGAAAAGAAAGATTTGTACCTTTTGTTGTTTTGCATAATAATCCAACTGAGAACAGTTGAGAGCTAAGCCTAATATAAAAACCATGAAAATCCAGTCCATGATAAAAAAGCTATCTGTGCCATCAGTATGTGTTAGATCTATTAGCAGTTTTATTTCCTAGAAATATAGTTTATGGGAACATTTGTTTAAAGCTACTCTTAGAAAGCATGCTTATGTAAAAATCAGAAAAAAGTAACTGCAGGTAAAAAGTCTTCTCTCCCTATTGTAAGAGCTTCTATAATGAAATAATACAGGCTATGTTTGTTGCATTGATTAACATTTGAAACTGTAGAAGCATTTAATGCCAAAAGAGAAACCCCAGGTTAGTTTAAAATGGGGGAAAGATATAGCAATTTTCTGTGAGCTTCAAGTAGCAGTACCGAGTGTGACCCCAGCTACCCATTCCTCCATCCCTCATAAACCTGACTCCACCCTTTTGTTTTTTGTTCCATTTGTTTTCATTTCAATTTATTTGGTTCACTTGTTTAATTGCTTAGCCACTTTCCTCCTCTGGAGAAGCTTTTAGATACAGATACCTGCCTGCTGATAACCTCACTGGTTATAGTGCATTTAGTGGATATGCTAGTGGAAAAACTTATTGCATTGGTTGTATCAATGATTTCCTAGCGACATTAGCAAAGTGGGTCACTGTAAGGTATCATCAGGAGCAATGTGAACAACATGCTGATGGACTTGTTGTGGATGGTGCTACTGGAGAGAGGCATGTATGAAGCATGCACAAAGCACACAGAGACAGCTCTGGAGGGGAACTGGGCTCAGAAAACTATGACTCTTATCAAAATGTATGGGTTCCCTTGCATCCTTTCACTTCTCCATATACACCAGGATTGTTGGGAGAGAATTCTAAATGTAGTGACCTTGGCATGTTTAGTGACAAAAATATTTTCTGTCTCTCCCTTTCCCATCTCTCTTGGACTCCCTTTCCCTTCTGTACCCTCTCCCAAAACCTGAATGTAATACTTGTAACCTTGTGGCATATTATTATCATTTACTTGTCTTTATCAATGGCATGGCTTCCAAAATACTCAATATTCAATCCTTGTATTCATTCCCTTTATACATGCTCACCCTGTCCTGCTTTGTGCTAAAACCAATTCACTTCCCCCCAACCACTCTGCCCAAATTAAATATCTCCTGCATGTTGCTTTGTTATTGACTTCTTATCACTGTACTTTTGAATTACACCTTTTTGTTTACCTTTGATTTGATTTATTCTCTGGTAACATAACTCCTTATTTGGTAACGGTTCTTTGGTTATCACACTTGCCATTGTCATATGATGCCACCTTCCCTTTGCTTGCTTTGCCTATCCTCCTTTCCTTTCCCACTCCCTTCCTCCTTCCCCTTCCCCTCACAGCCTGATGGAGTCATCTGCCACTTCGCTAGTCTTCTCCTCCGATTCCCTAAAAAGGCGAGACAAAGCGCGGCGCAAGACTGCAACAACGGAAGACATGCTCTTCACCAATGGATCAGAGAAAAATGGGAATGCAAGTGGCACGGATACCAGTGCAAACACCACTCCAGCTGGGACCATAGTCGGTGCAACTTCGATAGCTGTCCTGGAACGTCTAGCAGCAGAACGCAGCAGTGCAGAACGCATGTCCTCAAGTCTGGCGATGGATCGTATGGCGACAAGCTTGGAAGGAGATGATGGTCTACTAATGCCACCTCCTTCTAGCCATAGGGCAGTCCCCAGAGTCACTTCAGCTCCAAATCCACTTAAGTATGTCATACACAATAGTGTTTATATTAATACAATAACTGTTATTATCATTGTTGTTATTATTATTATTATGGTTATTATTTACATTTTTTCCTAACCTCTGCTTTTAGTGTTTAACATTTGGTTTATACTAATGTGTACTTTTATACTGATTTACAATTTTTTTTTGTTTAAACTGCTAATCTGCTTTACACCCATGTATACTAGAGTAGATTTAGGTAATATAACACTTGCGCCTAATGAACTAAGCTAACAGGTTCAGGCCAGGTGCTTTTGAGATTTTCACGTTAGCGTTTCTTAATCAGTGTTTTATGGTAATGGAGTTTTTGTCTTTTATTTATTTATTTTTTTGTCTTACAATTATCAGAATTATAATAAGTATAGGTTACCTTATGAGTTTGCTGCTTGATAGCCTTTAGTTTGGTCTTGTGACTGTGAAAGCTTTCTTTTGGTCCCTGCTTTTTCAAAGTGATTTCAAGTGTTGTTACTGAGTGTGTGCTGTAAGGTTCAGTGTCTCTCTTCTATTTCCAATAATACTTCTTATTTTTATGAATTTGATTTTCCCTTTTTTAAAGTGTTATTGTTACTGTTATTATTATTATTTATACTTTATTTGTCATGTAGTAGTTATGCCAGACTAGCATATCTGCGTCATGACAAGGACATGAGGTCAAGCCAGCATCATCAAAGTGCCACTGGAAGTCACAAAATTTCACACTCGTTCTAGTACGTGTTAGTGTACGGAAATTGTTTATAGATAAGAAAAATAAAAGAGGAGAGAAAAAGATTGAGCTTCACAGTCCAAAACCAGCATTAGACCAGTTAACATGACACTAACCAGATTAGAGGAGCCTACACTAACCTCTGGCCTCGGTTTGGGCTGGCTTGGCTTGCAGGAATCTGATGACCTATCGGCCTGACAAAGCATCACCCATTCTTAGTCGCAAGACATATGACCGCCAAGATTCCACTTCTCCCCGACTGGGTAGAAGGTCCCTCACCTCTCTTAGCACCTCTAACCTAAATTATTCACGACAAAATTCTGCGTGAGTAGCGGCAGTGAGGTTTTACGTTAGAGTATTTCAGAGGCTGATGTGATTTTTTGGAGATGGTTCAGTATGCTTGTGTTTTAAATTCATCATCTAACTTCACTGTAGGTGTGAAAGAAAAGATTTTTGATGTTATGATTGGCTAACAAACAATAGACATATGATGTGAGAAGAGAACTGTGACAGCTGTTTTGTGTGTGTGTGTGTGCTTGACAGACCTTCACACTTGCACAAAATAGTCAAAATAAATGGTTGGAATTATATTCAATCTTTCTTTGCAGAGATAATAACCCAGAAATGACCCCGCCAACGTCTCCCACCACATACCGGCGATCAACGTCTCGCGAAGAGAATGTTTTCTCACGGCTAACTTCAACCACCTCCTCCACGCGGGAGGCTCGACCAGACACGGGCATTATTAACCCACACTCTGGGAGGGTAAGGAATTAAGACATTAAGACATGCATGGGGGGATAATCTGTACAGGGTTATGTTAATAAATCTAGATATGTATATAAGCATACGTATGCATTAAGATGTTTCTGCAATATTGACATCATGATTCTGTGTTTATTTGTGTGTATGTTCGATTTATTGTGTATGTAAGATAAACATGTAATGTGTGTAATGGTGAAAAGCAAATCAACCAAAAAATATGTTACAGGTAAGCCAGCGATCAGTGCTGGCATGCACACATGTGGCTCAGGGGCACTCCAAAGCGGTGTTGTCAGTCTACGCTACTGATGACCTACTCTTCTCTGCATCCAAAGGTAAGGAATTTGTTTCTAGTAGAAATTCTACTATTCTTAGAACAAGGTTTGGCATGCATGCATGAGAGAGACAGGTAGATACAAATACAGACACAAACACTTTGACAGAGACAGACAGACAGGCAGCCAAATAGACAGATAGATAGACAGAGACTGGTAGAGACAAACAGGCAGAGAAGATAATTTGGGAAATAGTTATTATAGCACCTCACATGCAAGGATATGAGATATGAAAAGATATAATTTTTTAAGTTCATATTGATGATGATTGAAGGGAAATGGTTGTCCATTTATCTTATAATATATTTATTTTTGTATTCATTTATGTTACAGATATATTCATACGTCTGTATTTTTTAATTTACTGTAGTACATTCCTATGTTTTACCTGCAACCAATAGGTTTGCAGACTGGTAATTTGTTATGTGAGAAGTCATATATTTTTATCTGGACTACACTTACCAACTTCACTGGTTAATAAAGGGAAACCAGTAGTGGAGTTGCATATATATACATTCATGTGCCTGTTCATTTATATAAAAGTGTTGAGAGATAACAATGTAGAAGTAGAGGAAATATGCAAAATGTTCATTTTGCTTGGACGTGAACACAGTAAAGTGTTAATGATTCTCCCCACCTCTCCTCTTCAGATCGTACAGTTAAGGTGTGGGACTTGGTACGAGGCCAAGAGATTCAGTCTCTGGGAGGTCATCCCAACAATGTGAATTGTGTTAGGTACTGTGAGTCACAGAGGATTTGCTACTCTGTTTCATCTTCATTTATAAAGGTAAAGTAATGGGTTGATCACATACATGAGTGGAATGTATTTCACTGTTGCTATGACTGTTTATTTTCATAAAGGAAAATGTCATATTTAAAGATCATATTGATAAATTCATATGTGGTTAGAAGGAACATCCAACAGAAAAATTATATGTACATTGTTTTTTTTCCCCCCACCTTCTGTATTCAGGTCTGGGATATCCGAGAAAACCCAGCAAAGTGCGTCAAGACCCTCAGCTCAGCAGGATTAACTTCCTCTGGGCCAATGCAATCAAGCACTCAGTCAAGGACGCTTCAAATGCCACCAGGAGAGACTCTCATCACAGACATAGCTGCGTCCACCTCTACTAATATTCTCTACTCAGCAGCTGGCAATATTGTTAGAATATGGGACTTGAGAAAGTATGTTTGAACAGCCATTTTTCCTTTTCCTGTTGTGACTATGAGTGCATATTTTATTGTGTTTATTTTGAGGATAAGGAAACTACATATAAAGATGGTGATTATCTTCAATGAGAAAAATAAACATGGAGCATTTTTTGCAGGCACACAGCTGTAGGAAAGCTTGCAGGGGGTCACCAGGCAGCTGTCATGTGTCTGGCTGTGGACTCCACTGTTCCAGGCCAAGATGTCATTGCAACAGGTTCCAAAGATCACTACATCAAGGTACATCTATGTAATGCTAGTGATTCTAAAAAATTATATTCTGTTTTTCCCATTTCATTTCTATATTTAATTATAAATAAGTGTTTATGCTAAGTGTAGATGTATTTATATAGATTCATATATGTACATATTTACTCTTCTGAATTATATATGTAAATTTTTTACTTTTAGATGTTCTTGTCCACATAGTGTGGATGTGCATATACAAATAAAAGGTGAATGTTTCTCATAACAGAGGGATTCATTTTAAAGATCTTTTAGTTCTCATTCTTTATCCATTATTTCATATAACTAATTCCTTGCTCTCTGTAAAACCCAAACCAGGTGTTTGACATCTCAGGAAACACAACTGGCTTAGTCAACCCCAGAATAAACCTGGATCCCCCACACTATGATGGCATCCAGTCCTTGGCTCTCTACGGGGACATGCTGTTCTCTGGCTCAAGAGACATGTGCATCAAGAAGTGGGATCTACAGCGAGGGGAGCTCGTACAGTCCCTGAATAATGCACATAAAGACTGGGTGTGTGCGTTGTGTTTCACTCCTGGAGGACAAATTGTATTGTCAGGTAATTGCTATGGTTATTATTGTTTGTTATTTTTATTGTTAGTTTTTTATTTATATTTTAATCTAATAGACATTACTGGATTTTTTATAATATGAAAGAAAATGTCACCTGTTTTCTCACTCTCAGGAGATGAAGAGGGATTAATCTCTCCTTCTTCCTTTGTTTCATTAAGTTTTAAATTTTATCAACAAAGCATATGATAAGCTATTTTTGAAGACTGTATTTCTTTTATCATTAGTTGTTCAGACACTAAAGTGTTTTATTAAATGTCTCAGGTTGTCGAGGAGGCGTAATTAAGATGTGGTCTACTGAGAGTTGCCAGTTAATTGGTGAACTCCGAGCTCATGCATCTCCAATTAATGCCATTACTACTAATTCTACGTGCATTTTCACGGCATCAAAGTAAGTGCATATGGACATATTGTGTGCTCTTGTCTCATGTGAAGACTATTTTCCCTTCATTTCAGAGTACATTTTCATAAGGAAAGGCTGTTAAGTTAGTAGCATCCCCATGTAAATTAATAACATCCCATTGTTTGCAAATGCCTGTTATGTAGACAAGGGAAAGAACTATAGACTTGTGGTAAAGACAGATTTTTAGGTATTAGATATTACAGAATGTGGAAGGGGAGAGGGATTGCCTGGTAGGGATGATGTGGGATTTTGAAATTAGCTTTTCTTGGTGAGGAGAAGAGCAGAAACAAGATTTATCCTCTCCCTTGAAAGACACTACTAAGCAAATATTTTTGTATAACTTCCTTCATATGTTTGGTTTGGTTAAAAAAAAAAAGTAAAAAAAAAAACTACTCCAGGAATTCATTTCAATCTGACTTTACATTTTAAAGGTCTTGTCTTATCTTTAGGTCATGTGGTAAATCTTTTTTTTTCCTGTTTTGCTCTTGCAAGACATTTTATTTTTGGAAGTTATAGAGACCTTGTGCACTGAAAGTAGAAAAAGTATTGTAATTATAAAATGTAACTGAATGAAGGACACAATAGCCTGCACTGCTAGTTCCTTTATTTTCTGTTCAGTAGAGTGCAATTGTTAATTTTACATTTGCATGAACCTCACAGGTATTTATTCACTGATATGTTGCACATGGAAATAATTTCAGAATTAGAATCAGTCATTTTAAGAGAAAAGGCTAGCCTGAAGGGGTATGCAAATTTCATTAAGTTCAGGTAGAAATTTACAGAATATTTGAGGATTTATATATAATCATGCAATTTTAAGGAACTATATATCATCAAATATATAAACTATTGTGAGAACTAATTAAATGCATTCATCAACTACATCACACAGTTAACTTGAAAACACAGAACCAGTAACACAACCAAAGCATCAGCACAATTATATGCATGATTTGACCATGAAGTAGCATGCATGAGAATTCATTCACTTGGGGGTCACACCTCAGCCGTTAATGAGCAGGAAATTTTGAATCATCGATCAATTCATCAATCGCCTAAATCAATGAGTTAGGTCACACATGACCGCTAAAAGAATTCTCCCCTCTTCTAACGCCTCCTCCCGCAACCCGTCAGTGAGGGAGACATTCGGGTTTGGAGGCCCCTCGTGGGTGTGGCGGCAGGGAGAACCTTTGAGCTATCCCTCTAATTTCTCTCCGGCAACAAGCTATAGAAAAAGTGAAGTAAAGGTTCGATGTGCATGAAGATGTGACTTTGTAATTAGTTTCAAAATAATATAGTTTTATTAGGATGGTTTTATCTTCTCTTTGTTACCACGATTTTAGGTATTTTATGCTTTAATACGGAGCTGCAGACTTAAATGTTTAGTTTATGGTATGATGAGCTTTAACTTATTTTTTTTTTTGTACTTATAATATGCTTGGTTGGATGGAAATGACTAAAGAATTTGTAGAATGATAAAATAATCTTCAAAATATGTATATACAAAATATGAAGACGCATGTTGGTGTCTATGGCTTGTGATGTTTCTTTAGACAATTACTTTTCATTGCAAAAGTCTGTCTTAGAAGACAGATGAGTACAGATTCATTTTTTAAAATCTTCAGTGTAAATACCCTGACCTTGCCTTGCATAAATCTCCAGTCTTATACTACATCTGTTTTTTGAATGTTTGTTACATCTTCTATTTTTTCTTTTTAGATATGACTTAATTTCTGTCATTATTTTCATAATTATTATATGTGTAGAAATCTCATTATGTAGAGTGTTCCATGTTTTTATCAGTGTTCTCATCTCTTTTTTTTTTTTTTTTCCAATGAAAAAATGTTTTTCTGAATATGGAAATCTCAGAATATGGAATTGCTGGCTCTCAAATAACAAAAAATTGGAATTTAGAAGACGTATTTGCATAGTTGGGATCAAGTAGTGCACCAGCTTATAATATATGCAAGTCCATCAGAATTACAAACATTAAGTTTATATTGAATTTAAATATAGAGGCATTGAATTGCTTTTGTTTTTACAGGAACTTGCATTAATTTTCTTGCAAATGCTTATTTTTTATAGCTTGTAATATGGATGAATAGGGAGTAAATTGATGTGTTAAATGTTATAATGAAGTGCTCTTTTATGTAGAATTTTCTGTTATGTATATTGTGTGTATAGTGTCCATCTCTCTCTCACTTACTTTGAGCTTTCATATATGTTAAGTTGAAAGGAGAGGCTGGAATAAATAGCCTTTATACATAGATTCTAAGAATATCCATTATCAGTAAAAAGTGAGTGAAGACCACAAGAGGCAATAATTTTTTTTTCTCTTTTAGAATGTAGTAATACAACTGCTTCTTGTGATTGCCCTTTTATAAACAAATAAAGCTTTACTGTTGTATAGTCACTATATTCTCGAGAATGGTTATACATTTTTTTTTGGCATCCTTTCTTTAATATAGAAAAAGGATGATCATTCTCTCAAAGATTTTTTCATAATGGTAGCTGGCATTCATGATAAGTGTTGGTGGTGAATGAAATTTCAGGATGAGTGGTGTTGATTTACATAGTAGTGCAGTAGGATTTCAACCATTTGGCAGATGTTTGAACAAGATATTCCTTGTGATAATACATGGTACCAACTCATTTTGTGAGTGAGTACTATATAAAAGAATTTAAGCACAATATGTACAATATTTACATGTCTTCATTTTCTCTCTCTCTTTCCAGTGATTGTACCATTGGCATGTGGAGGATGAGGACAAGTTACGACGTTTCACCGGAGTTATCGGATGCTTCATGATGTGTCTTCTTTAGGGTTTATTCTTAAGAATGTCTCAGGCAGCTCCGACGTATGTCCTCATTAGTTTACATGTTGTACTAGAGAACTAGTATTTATTATCTTTACTTTTGAATTGTCAGAAAAATAGGAATTCTTGAGTACTGTCAATTTTAGGCCACACACTAAGGTTGTGGTTTTTATCTCTGAAGGCTGGGAACTTGAAGATAATGCATGGGTTCATGCATTTCTTGTGTTTTAAACTTATGAAACCTCTATGATCTGGTTATGTTTGTTTACATGAGTAATCTTTTTTTTCATAGCAAAGAAGGAAAAGGCAAATTATCTTGAAATTAGGAAACTAATTGTGTGATATTTATGCAGATTGTATAATGTACTTTTAAAAGTGACTGATGGAAAGAGATACGGAAATACTAGGTAGTGTTTGTTCTTCAAACAACTTGTAATTCATTATGAGTAGCATATGATATATAATGAAAATCAAATGGAATACTAGTGAGTGCAGTTATCGCATCGGCATCAGCAGCATTCCTCCACCACATATAAATGGCTTGAATATCTTTATTTACTGTATCTCTACTTCTGGTATTTGCATCACAATTTTATCAATTCAAAAAGAGAGTAGGTCGTAACTCCCCACAGGAGGAGGAATGCGGTTCACTATCTTTACAAATGAATAATACATACAGTTAGATCCCATATTCATTGCACTTTGAAAATAACCTTTTGCCAGGTACAGCACTTTTGTGAATCTAGTTTAAGAATAGATAAAGATATAATAAAGGCCATGTTATGAAATAAGTATGGAAGTGAACACTGCTATGCTATAATGAGCATCAACTGTAAAGTTTGATGTAGTGAGGATAAAAGGGTCAATGTTTGCATGCAGGTCATCAGGTCAAGTGACGCTGTGATGGCCGCACCAACATTCCCGCATTTGCCATTCCAGTGAAGGAGTCAAATAGGTTGTGATCTTCCCGTCGGTGGAGGCAGGCAGGCATGATGGTCGCCAGTTCTCAGTTATCGGTTTTAAAAGCCCATGAATATGGTGAAAGCGCTTGTGATTTATTCAATATCATTGTATTTTGATATTTCTTACATACAAAAAGCTTATGGTGCAGAATGAAATATAAGCTTATTTTGTCTGGCGAACTTTTAAAAAGCTTGAACTTTTGTCAAGTAGTAATTCATATTCTATTGCCATCATGTTCTGAAACCTCACCCTTTTTATGCTGGGATATGCACCCCTCCCCCTTTTTTAAGATAAAGATTTAGCTTTACAATTTACAGGAATCTGTCAAAATACCAAATTGGTATACTGTGTGCTATAGATATAAGTGTCTTATACATCTGTCGTACTATTTCTCTGTATATATGTATACATTTCTTTTTAGTTCTGACTTTTGTACAGTCTTTGTTTTCCTGTTTTCAGTTTCTTTGTATTTTTTATTTTTTTGCTGGACATTTTTCTAAGGATTTTTTTTCTTCAAATGAACTGAAGATGGAGAATTCATAGTTTTATAGATAGAAGGGAAATGTTCTTGCATTATGCTCATTATTTTAACTCTTATTATTATGGCTAATGGTCATGATATTTTTTATTTGTTCTTTTTGTATGTAACCCAGTATGCAAGGACCTTTGTATGAGTGTGTGTGTGTGAGAGAGAGAATTGTGTGGTTTCTCACTTTCTCACCATTTATTAGTGGGAATAACTTGCATACCTGTGACTGACTATAAGAACAGTGTCTAGTGCTGTGATAGCTAGGATTGCTACAGTGGTTATGTTAGTAGGAGTGGTTATCCACATGAGGATTTTTTGGTTAATGGATATTGCAGAATGTTCCTGCATTGTTTCACCTTCAAATTATTTATAATGAATTTATCTAGGCGTATATCATTACAGTTATGGTCGACTCTGGTCATCAACCAAATTCATGTCCTGATCCATCAATGCCCAATTGAGATTATCTGTTACAAGTGAAATTAAATTATTGCAAAATGGTGAATACTTGATAAAAAAAAATGTGCCTTAGAAAGCAAAATCATTTTCTGTTAACATGAAATGCAAAACACACTTCTACTCCAGAGAGATTGCATTGTTTAAGCCAGCTGTGATAGACAAGTTGATGCCCTTAGTTCTATTCTTGCTTGTCAGTATGACATGATTTTAACATCCAACATCTAAGGGTCAGAATGGATTAATATATAACACATTATAAATACCATATATATGTATATGTGTATGTAATCCAGAGCCTGCTATAGCTTCTAGTTCAACATAAGTTAACTTCCAAAGAAATTAAAAATGCAGTTTCAAAATGGCAGCAGATATCTTAATTGACTTCCTGTTTGACAGTAAACAACTACAGAATGGCAGAAATAATTGTATGACCAAGAAATCTGGTCAAGAAATGGAGTATGCAGAAAAAAAATGTAGTATTATTCTGTTCATTAGTATTAAATGTTAGCATTGATGTAGTATCATTATATCTGATTCAATAAATTTTGTCTTGTAGGCAGCATTTTTTCCTGATTGCAGCTGCTATAGTTCATTAAGCTTTGAGATCAACTCAACATTGTGGAGGAGCTTATCATGTTAGAAGACTGCCGCTCTGTTTTATTTCCATTTACCAAAGTCTTATAATTTTCTTAATTCATCTCAAGGAAATTATTTAATTCTGTGTGTACTTGGTCCGATATTACGCAAAAAGAAACAGAGTTTATCTGTGTCCCAATCACATCATACATGTATATCTTTTTCAAAAATTGGCCCTTCAAAGGGATGATTTAAAAGAAATTTCAGATATAACTCTTCAATTTTGATTGAGTGAGTTGGGATGGTATTAACATAACATTACCCACCATGAACTTGTCACATGTAAATACTGTGAAATGTTCTGTGCAGAGAGTATTTTTATATGAAAGCAAACAGAATGAAGCAGTCACCCATTCGCCATGCTCTACCCAGAACAAGTAGATATGTTGTGTAACATGTACTAATAAAATGATTAAATAAGATCTGCAATTCATTTTCACATCCTCATATGAAAGTCAGATGTAACCTTTAATCCTGTTCAGAAATCCATGCTACATTCTTATTTGTTAAAGGAATAATATGTGTATTTCAAATCCAGGATTTTTAAAAGTCAAAAATGTCCAAATAAGTGAACAGGTAACTGCTTACAAAAGCCAGCTCAGGCAGGCAGACACAGAAACTCTTGAGAGAGAGAGAAGAGAAGAAGAAAAATAATCCTTGTAGTTGTACCCAGATACCTGTATATTTAAATGTATTTAAATGAATTTATACTGGAGGATAGTTATTACGAAGAGAGAATTTGTCTACCCAAATAAAATAAAGGGACAAATGATGTCCACTCTTGAATAATGTGTTCAGTCCACTCTTGAATAATGTGTTCAGTAAGCTCGTTGAGATGGAACCGTCCATGTGCTGAAAATATTATTCCACCCATTTCGTCAAAGATTCTTCTATGGTTTGTGTCCAGCCATTCCATATCTGTGGTGACATCATCATAATGGATGATGGTAATAACTAGGATGATAATGTTAACGATGATTACAATGATTGTACTGATGAAAATGACAATAATAAACATGATGATAATGTTGATAATGATAATGATAGTGATGAAATGATGGTAAAAATTGTGATGATAATTGATGAGAAAGAGGGAGAGGAGGGAGAGATGGAAGATGAGGATTCTGAAGATGATGATGACAAAGATGAGGATAAAGATGATGATGATACTAAGGATGAGGCCTATGCTTGGAGGGGTAAACCCAAGCTTTGTGGACAGATACATTCTGATTCAATACTGGGTTCTTGTCCACTCTAGCTGCGGGTCCGGGGGAACCAGCCTAAGCACTTTTCTTGCCACTATGAACCTAAAGAAGTTCCAAAGTGACTGCCACAGTCAAATCATTACCTTACAACAGCGCTTCATTCCCCCTCTGCCACTCCCATCCACCACAGAGTCCCACAAGGGGAAGCTGCATGTTAAATCCTATTCTAACAGCTACAGGGGCAATGAGAGGATATACCAGCCCCTGCTTCATGTTAATGGCGCCCGGGGGACCTGTGCAAGGGCAAGGCAGGGACCGCCTGACCGTAGCTTTACTTAGCGATACCAATTCATGCTGGAATAACAGACTAAGGAGGTGTGTTTCTGGCAACTGGTAATACTAATGTATGGTTTGCTCAACCTGCAGGCCCCCCGCTCCACAATGTATAAGGGAGCCATGCACGGCAAACATGAAAGTGGGGGGAGGGGATGCACTCTCACTTATAGAATCAGCACCTGGGTTGGAATCATTAGGTCATCCCTTGCCTGTGAACCTGCCAGTAGGGGAGCCACCGCCTGCACCAACCCAAAACGGTTCCTTTTGCGATTACGACGACGGCGAAGCGATGGCGCAGTGTCGATGGCGACAACGACAATGATGAAGATAACGACAATGAATGCTGATGAAAATGATGATATTTGCACCACAGCAACAATGACGGTGGTAATGATTGTTATAAAATCAAACGAATAAGTACTTAATACTATTAAATCAAACAGATACGTAAATAAATTTGCCAAGCTCTGATACCGAGGCATGTCCGGTACGGGTAAAACACTGAGGAAATATTACATAATTTTTGGTAAAAAAGGGACGGATGTCACCCTTATCACCTCTACATGCCTAATGTTTCATCGACTGCTCGGAGTACCTGCATCTAGCACGCGCGCACGCGCACACGCATACACACCCGAACAAATGAAGACACACTAAAAAAGATAGAAAAAATATCAGACCTTACCCCTTTTTGAGAAAAAGACGGCAAAAGATGCAAACCAATTTCATGTTTAACATATACAACAAATATATGATTCTAGTATAAATATATTGGCAAAGCAACTGGAAAAGTAGTCCACAACTTCCTCAGAAAATTACTCCTCGTTGGTCAGCCAAGGGTCAGCGGGCTCCCACGATTCTGTTTCGTTTAAATATGTTATTGATCTGCTGTTTGGTAGATTCACTTTGTCACAATATATTTTGTTTGTTTGTTTGTTTAAATATTGTAGAGAAAACACCCAATATCTGTAAGGACTAAGTTCATCTCCAGATTTCAAGGAGGCCCTGGATATGAATCACATTTAATGCCATTTGGATTTGATTTCCGAGTATGCTGCATTACTGCTAGAATGCCCTAATGCGCAATCAGCATCCAGAGCGAGTATTTAATACACCAACGGGCAGTGGTAAAAGGTAAATTGATATACGAAAATAATAGTGGAGACAAGACGCTTCCATATGGGATCCGTTTGTCTGGAAAGAACTGTCTAAACAAGTAACAATGTCAGAAAATAGCTTCACAGAAAATATTACGGCAGAAGAGAGATTTAGAATGAATCAAGACAATTTCTACGTACTACGAAAGCATAGAATTATCGTGTCGTAGTTTTTTTTTTATAATGTCTAGGAATGTTGAAATCAAGAAATGTTCTTTGGCAAATGTCTTATTAATATGACGGCTTTCAAACTGTTGGAGTCGTAGTCATAGAGCTCGTCAACTAGTAACTTTCTCAAATTGAAAACACGTAATAGGCAACACTAACACGTGCCGCCGGGCGATATGAAATATGGGATCTGGGATATCCCCATCCTTCAGTAAAGGAAAGCTATGAGATTAGAAAAAAATCATCTTTTCCATACATCCTTGTGTACTGCTAGTAACTTAAACGTGGCGCTTTTTGGGACTTCCATCTGGAATATTCAGAGACAAAAGCCTCCGCGCCCCCTCCCTCTGTGGCGGCCAGCAGGATGCAATCTGCTCCTCTCACGAGAAGAGGCCAAGAGCCCGGCGAAGTCCTCGCAGGAGTTGCCAAGGAGGGAGATGCGATATAAAGTGTGATTCAGTATTAGCCTTCTTAAGATGTTTTAGGTAGACTGACTGTGCTATTCCATTGACCAATAAAGTCAGGTGTTCAAACATTTGCCTGTTTTTTTCTGCCATTTCCTTATCCTTTGTCACAAGCTATTGACTAATTCACTTGTACTGTAGCGTTTGAAGTTTCGGATTTGTTTAGTCCACTTCCCTCTTAGACACTGTGCAATTAGCATCATGATTTCCATATATACCTATGTCTTATCTCCTTCAGACCTCTACATTTACGACTTTAAAACCTACTTTCACTTATGTAAAGGTGTCATGAGTTTTAGCACATTTACATAAAATATTTATCTATCAATACATCTTCAAGCGGTGTGCCCGACTTTTTGGCATTCATGCTAGGGCATTGGCTCTTGGATGTAAGGCTGCACTGGGGCACTTTCACATCAAATTTTAACTTTCATTGGGATTTTACATGAAACAAAAATATTTATGAAAAACTATCCAACTTTTGGCCAAACAATTCATGCCTTGGTCCTTCACGTCCTCAGGGATTCTACACCCTTCCATCGTCTTGAAATCCCAATGTGAAAGAGTACTCCCTTCCAGGTGTTTGGGCAGATAGGGATACTTGCTTTCACTGAGATCTTGAATCTGTGTCAGCTTCTGAGTATGTACATAATCAGTGAACTGAATTCTGTATTGTATGGATTCTGTCAACTTTCGCACCAAAGCAAAATCCTCTTCCCACTTGACCTTCACCGACTTTATTTACACTAACGGGGGTCACATTCTAAAACGACTGATTCTTATTCGCGCATTTGAACACTCACAAACCTAGCATTCTCTGGAGGGATTGCAAAAGGAGGTCGTTTCGCTGGCATGGGCTCCGTTCTTTAGGCTCGAATTGGTCGTCGAGAGGAAACGAGTCATCTTGTTGCAAGAGGAAGAAGGGGTAGCCTGGAGGTCGGCCAAGAGAGGGAATAAAACTGAAATTGTTATCACAGCTTATCATCAATAGTGAGGATGTGTAAGAGATTACGCATTCCTCTCTCCCCTCAGCGGAAGCCTGGTTGTGTTCCCCGGTACCAGAAGGAAATCGAGCCAGGGCGAAGGGCGATAGTTTGGTGTCCAACCCCTAAAGGGAAAATGGGAATCTACAAGAAACTCCTGAGGACTGACTGAGAAAGTTACAATAAAAATTTAAAAACTTAAACAAGAAAAATGACGACCCAGGCTACAGGCCCTCCCTACCCAGGGTCAAAACCCGCAAGGGCTGCCCCAAGGATGAAGAATGTCGCGGGACTGAAACTATTGCAACCTCGTATTATCTTCAAATTCAAAACATTAAAAAGTTAAAAACTTAAATGATAATAATAATGTAAATACAGAGACTATTATTCTATATAATTTACATCATGAAACTGAGAAACAACAATGTCGAGCAAGACGAGAGGCTCTGCTGGTCTCCTGGGGGAGATCAAGCGACACTTTACTTATTGTTTATTGCTTCTGTTTTAAACCAAAAGTTCGAGCTCTTCCATGCCCCATACTCAAGCTTAAAAAAAACACTTCAATTTCCCGCCACATTTTCACAAAAGCGACAAAGATCAGAAGTTCGAAGACCCAAAGTATGGTCGTGTGTAGGTGTCAACATAGGCGTTTCTGAGAGGCTGCTCTATTGATTACGTACTTAGAAAAGTCGTCAACAGATGGCAGGAGCTGTACAACGAGGGCTCGTCTCATCGTATGGTCGCCTCCCATAGCATACTCGGCCATTTTTTTTGTGTAAAGTGACGAAGATAGCATGATCATGTATCTTCATTCCTGTTTTAATGTATTTTCTTTTCTTTTACTCTTTTTTTTTCTTCTGTTTATTTGTGATTTCGTGAATCCGTTTTCTTTTGAGAAATCCCGTGCGTAAATAAGGACAGTAATTGAAGTTAAGTCGGGAGGCATTTAGAATCTCTCGAGAATTAAAGCCGTTGGAAGGGGAAATATCAAAGAAATTTGTAGGATACGTATCGCCTTTTTAAACTTCAAAGACCTTTCTAAAACTTTAAAAGCAGGCGATTAAATATTCATTCATAAACAGATTCATACATACATACATGAGTTCA